TGATTCTATTTCCAGTTTTGCAAACAGCATCAACTATGTAGTGTCCTAAGCCAGAGACACCTGTGAGTCATCTAGAATTCCTCCTACTCTCACATTCAGCCTATCACCTTCTCATCCTTTATCTGTAATATCTTTCAAATCTGCTCCTTTTCTTCACCCCTAAAAATCAGTTTGAACCCACTTACTTTTTTTTTTTTTCTAAAACACTTATTTATCTATTTATTATTGTGATTTTGGAGTTGCCAAGTCCAGGACTTGAATCACAGCCATGTGAGAACCCAGCTCCTTAACCACCAAGCCACCTGCTGGTCCAAGGATTTCCTCCTTTTTTTTTTTTTTCCTTTTTATTTATTATATATACTTTTCAGGAGAAATTTTGGCTATAGGGTGCATGAGCTTGCCAGAGAGAGAGAAAGGGAGAGAGAAAAAGTGAGAAATCATTGCCTAGGGGATGGTCATGCTGCAATCCCTTCTACTTCATTCTCCTCTTGCTCTTTTGGGTGGGCATGCACACGTGCCCAACATGAGTTCTAGTCACCAGGTCCAGGACTCAAACAGCATTCAGTCATGTGGAATTCCAGTGCCTTAACCACTATACCATCTGCTGGCCCAGGATTTCCTTCTTTAAGGGTGAAAAATAAATACCACATTTTTATCCATTCATCTATTGATGGACATTTAAGTTATCTATTTGGTGGCTACTGTGAATAATGTTATAATGAATATGGGTGCATGTTCTGGATCTCTTTTCTTAAAGGATTTCAATCCTTTCCATAGGCCAATTTTTCACTTTGATGACTATTTCCTTTGCTGTACATAAGCTTTTTAGTTTAACACAGACCCATTTTTCTAGGTTTTGCTTTTGTTGCCTGGTCTTTGGTGTCACATCTAGTAAATCACTACTAAGACTAATGTAATGAAGCTTTCCTCCTATGTTTTCTCCTAGAAATTTTATAGTTTCAGATCTTAAGTTTAGCTCTTTAATCCATTTTTAGTTTTTTTTTCTTTTGAGAGGTTTTTGCTATAGAGCGTGTGCGCTCGCCAGACAGACAGAGACAGACAGAAAGCGAGAAATCACCCCCCGGGGGGATGGTCACGCCACAATCCCTTCTCTTCCATTCTCCTCTCGGGATCTTGGGCACGTATGCACACATGCCCGGCGTGAGTTTAAGCCACCGGGTCCGGGACTCGAACCGCGGTAGACTACGTGGGAGTCCAGCAATATAGCCATTACGCTAACTGCTGGTCCCTGTTTTTGAGTTTTTTTAGCCATAGGGTGTGGGCACTTGCTGGTGGAACAGAGAAAGAGAAAGTGAGAAATCATCCCCAATGGGGATGCTCACACCATAGTCACTTCTCCTCCATTCTCCTCTAAGGATTTTGGAATGCACACACATGAGCCTGGAGTATTTTTCGAGCCGCCATGTCTGGGACTCGAACTGTGGAGTTAGCCTTGTGAGATCCAGTGCCTTAACCTGCACACCACCTGCTGGCCTTCAGACACTTTGTATTACTGATGTCACAAATTACATCTTTTCATTTTTGTGCCCATTACTGTTTTATAGCTTTTCCTTTTTTAATGCTTCTGCTTTTTTTTTTTTTAAATAAGCTTTTGCTACAGTGAACATGCATTTGCCAAAGAGAGACAGAAAGTAAGAAATTATACTCCAAGGAATGGGCACACACAATCCCTTTTCTTCCACTCTCCTTTCTGATTTTTGGGCATGCACATGCATGTGCCCAGTGTGATTCTCAAGCTGCTGGGTCTGAGACTCGAACTGTGGTGGGCTCTGAGGGCATCCAACACCTTAACCACCAGGCCACCTGCTGGCCCATATATTTCTGCTCTTTTTTTTTGAGAGATTTTTTGCAATAGGGTACATGTGCTCGCTGGAGAGACAGAGACATAAACTGAGAAACCACCCTCCCACCTGGGGGATGGCCACACCACAATCCCTTCTCCTCCATTCTCCTCACAGGATCTTGGACATGCACCCAGTAGGAGTTTTAAGCTGCTGGCTCCATGACTCAAACTGCAGCCAGCCACATGGGAGTCCAGCATCTTAACCACTATGCCACCTGCTGGCCCCACAACTTCTGCCTTTTAAAGTCTATACCAGAGTTAAAAATAATGTACACATGACCATTACAGTATTCTGTACTTGTCTACATATTTTACTTACCAACAAGCCTTGTAATTTATAGGATCTCACATTACCATCTAGCAACTGTTTCAATTTGAAGAATTTTAATTAGCATTTCTGGTAAGGCAGGTCTAGCAGCAATGAACTCCCTCAGCTTTTATCTGGTAATATACTGATTTCGCCTCACTTTTGAAGAACAGTTTCACCAAATACAGTATTCTTTGTTGGCAGCTTCTTTTATACTTTGAATAAACCATTCATACTTACTCTTCTGGTAAGTTTCTGCTGAGAAATATGCTGATAATCTCATGAAAGCTATCCTTCATGTCACAAGGAATTTTTCCCTTCCCGCTTTTAACATCCTGTCTCTGAAATGATAACCTGATTGTGTATCGTGATGTGATCTTATCTGGGTTTGTCTTAGTTGGGGTCTGTTGGGCTTTCTGAATCTGAACGACTTCCTTCACCAGATTTCAGAAATTTATGGCTATTAATTCTTCAAATAAGTATTCTTTCCTTCTCTCTTCTCTTTCTGACACTCCCATTGTATGTATATCAATATGTTTGACGACGTCCCATAAGTCTTTTACTTATTTTTTTAAAAGAATTTTAAATTATTATTATTTTTAAATCTGCTATAGGGCACTTGCACTCACCAGAGAGAGAGAAAGTGAGAAAGCAAGTCACCGGGTCTGGGACTTGAACCACGTTTGGCCATGTGGGAGTCCAGCACTTTAACCACACCACTTGCTGGCCCAAGTCTTTCATTTCATTCTTCATTCTTGTTTATTTTCACTACTCTGACTGGATAATTTCAAATGATCTGTCTTAAAGTTCATGATTTACTCTTCTGTTCTGGTAAAATATGCTGTTGAATTCAGCTCAGTTTTTCAATTCAACTATTACTATGTTCTTCAGTTCTGAAATTTGTTTATTTTTACTATTTTCTCTCTCTGTTGATGTTCTCATTTTGCTCATGCATCATCTTCCTGAGCTTGTTGAACATCTTTATTATTTTTTTATTAAAGAATTATTTAATTTAACTTTATTTATTTATTTTAATTTGACCAGAGAGGGACAGAGTGAGAAAGCGAGAGCGAGAAAGAGAAAGAGAAAATGAGAAAGCAAGCCAGCAATGAACTCCCTCAGCTTTTATCTGGTAATATACTGATTTCGCCTCACTTTTGAAGAACAGTTTCACCAAATACAGTATTCTTTGTTGGCAGCTTCTTTTATACTTTGAATAAACCATTCATACTTACTCTTCTGGTAAGTTTCTGCTGAGAAATATGCTGATAATCTCATGAAAGCTATCCTTCATGTCACAAGGAATTTTTCCCTTCCCGCTTTTAACATCCTGTCTCTGAAATGATAACCTGATTGTGTATCGTGATGTGATCTTATCTGGGTTTGTCTTAGTTGGGGTCTGTTGGGCTTTCTGAATCTGAACGACTTCCTTCACCAGATTTCAGAAATTTATGGCTATTAATTCTTCAAATAAGTATTCTTTCCTTCTCTCTTCTCTTTCTGACACTCCCATTGTATGTATATCAATATGTTTGACGACGTCCCATAAGTCTTTTACTTATTTTTTTAAAAGAATTTTAAATTATTATTATTTTTAAATCTGCTATAGGGCACTTGCACTCACCAGAGAGAGAGAAAGTGAGAAAGCAAGTCACCGGGTCTGGGACTTGAACCACGTTTGGCCATGTGGGAGTCCAGCACTTTAACCACACCACTTGCTGGCCCAAGTCTTTCATTTCATTCTTCATTCTTGTTTATTTTCACTACTCTGACTGGATAATTTCAAATGATCTGTCTTAAAGTTCATGATTTACTCTTCTGTTCTGGTAAAATATGCTGTTGAATTCAGCTCAGTTTTTCAATTCAACTATTACTATGTTCTTCAGTTCTGAAATTTGTTTATTTTTACTATTTTCTCTCTCTGTTGATGTTCTCATTTTGCTCATGCATCATCTTCCTGAGCTTGTTGAACATCTTTATTATTTTTTTATTAAAGAATTATTTAATTTAACTTTATTTATTTATTTTAATTTGACCAGAGAGGGACAGAGTGAGAAAGCGAGAGCGAGAAAGAGAAAGAGAAAATGAGAAAGCAAGCCACCAGGTCTGGGACTCGAACCACAGTCAGTCTGAATGCTGAACACATGATTTATTCTTCCCCTTCCGCCATTCCTCAACCACAAGTAACTAAGCTTTCTTTTGTTCTCAGCAGCACCCAGGCATCTAGACTACACTAGATCAACCAATATCCTGACTCAGGTGAGAAAGAATGGGTCTAGGGTTGGCTCTTGAAAAGCAAGAATTCTGGACTCATCTGTTAGAGCTAGTTCTTATAAGGAGAGTAGAAAAGTGAACAACCTACCAGATGTGGCAGAAATGACACCATAATGCCTAATTCTTTAATCAAATAAATTGCTTAGATTCTGAATGGTTGTGAATGTGTATGCATGTGTATGCATGCACTAACATGTGAGCATGTGCTGGGAATGGATATTTGAGCACAGAGTGGGGAAAAGATCAAGCAAGGAAAACTCTGACACAATGAAGAGAAACAAAATTCATTTCACATTACAGCATCTGTCTTTATAAGACAATGGCATTAACACAGGGATCCAGAGCTTTGGTAACTGGTTTTCTACAAGTGGCTCTCATCTCAGTAATTAACTTAACCACCATTCAAAAATTACTGATCTTCATTTGCTTTCATAAAAATGAAAGCAATCATTCTCATGCACCAACACGGAGATAAAGAGCAGATATTTGGGGCACTGAGGTAGTTCCTAACACCATAATTCAAGTATACATTTTGAAGTGAAATTGCCTCCCTACCTTTCGGCAGCGAGGATTAGGACAGCTGAACCTCTTCACATCACTGTCCAACAGGGCAGGAAAGCTACAGGAGGGGCACCTAGAGTCAATGGAAGATGAGTATTAAAGCTTGATTTGGGTCTACGTGATGGTTCACACTAAGTTTTGAACTGCAGAGCCATATGGCCTTTTTACTCCTTAGTTTTCATTAAAACATGGATTGAGCCTCTTTTTTGTGCTAACATTTAGTAGGAAACACAGGTGCCATTCCAGGTCGTGACTCAATGGAAACCACCCAATGGACACATATCCTTTTTGAGAACCCCTTGCACACATCAGTTTTTTTTTTTTTTTTGAGAGGTTTTCGCTATAGGGTGCGTGCGCTCACCAGACAGACAGAGAGAAACATAGAGACAGAAAGTGAGAAATCACCCCCCAGGGGGGATGGTCACGCTACAATTCCTTCTCCTCCATTCTCCTCTCGGGATCTTGGGCTGAACAAGATCACACACGCACCTGGCATGAGTTTTAAGCCACCGGGTCTGGGACGCGAACTGCGGTCAACTACATGGGAATCCAGCGACATAGCCATTATGCTAACTGCTGGTTCCCCACACATCAGTTTTCATATAACCCAGAGCACAACAACTTTACCTACAGGCTAAAAGATCAGGAGGTGGAAAGACATATAGACAAATAAGGAACTGCAGACTTTTCAACTAATAGTTAATTTAGCTACCTTATTTCACAACAAGAAATGTCAAAAAATCTACAGGATACAGCTTTGTTATAGAATTTTCATCATCTGATGAAAGTGCAGGTAGTCTTCATAATGGTCAATGAGTTGGCTGATGACGCCCCCTGACTCTGAAAACTCACCTGACAAGCTCATCAGCATAGGCTGCAGCAACTTCTTCTTCAGCTTTTCGTTCATAGTATTTATATAAGATGGTCTGGGGAAGCACCTTCTCCAGTTCACTGGTTGGGAATGAACATGTGCAGCTGCCTTCCATACAGCTGAGCTCTGACTAGAATGACAAGCAAGTAAAGCAAAATATAAAATTCAACCAAGATTTTAGAAAAATGTAAAACCTCTATGGTTAAATATATCTTTAAATGGGAGGCAAACAAACAATGGTTAAGGACACATATTCTGAGGTGGCACACAAAGATCTGTAAGGAAACCATGAAACAAAAACACAAAGTTCATCTCTGACATCATTAGAGGACCTTTATCAGCCTTCATGAAAATGGAAAATATAAAGAGTAAATGGCTTAGGAGACCAGAGGAGGTAGGCCACAGCTCAGTGTCTGAAAAGGAGATGCTGATGAGAAGCAAGTTGGTTTCTTTTACACATCTAGAAAAGCTGGAGACCTATTAGAAAGCAGAGCCCAGAGGTGGGAAAGGGGCAGGAATTGACAGGAATAAACTAAAAACAGGTGAAGGGTATTGTTCAGGATCTAGTTCCTAATCTCTTTAGTTGGGTTCAGCTGAACCATAAGGCTCTGGCCAGGTAGAGCAGGGCAGAGGTGTGGACTGATGTCAGGGCTTGAAGTCAAGTCTGCATAATAAATAGGAAATTCTACAGTTCCTTCCTCTTACTCAGCTCCAGAATACTGGAATATGGAATCATACCTTGAAGGGTAAGAGGTACACTTAACCACTCCAAGAGAAAGACCCAAGATCTTGTCATTCAGATTGACAGCACAAAAGCTAACTGGTTAAAGGCACCTAGAAAACTTACTGGTCTATGGCCTGTAAGTCCCACTACTTGAACAGCTTCCAAACAGGTCTTTAATATGAATTAAAAGTGCTAGACATTAAAGGAATGCTTCTGACATGAAAGTCACCAAAGCAAACAAATGGAAAAAAGACATCTTAAAATAACAATAGCTAAAAGTTATGAAGCTTTTACTGTGTGTTAGGCAATAAGTTCTTTTAACTTATTCTCATTTAACGTTCACAATGATCCCCATCTTACAGGAAGAAATTAAGGCTTGAGAAATTTAATTTGCTCAAGGTCAGAAATTTAATTTGCTCAAGAGTTGGTAGGTGGGAAGTTCAAACTCCAAACCATTCTGCTTGACTCCAAAGGTCCCGTTCTTTAAATTGAAAGAGTTCCTGTATCCTCTTCACCCAGCTTCTCCTAATGTCAACATCTTATGTAACCATACATATATAATCAAAACTAGGATGTTAACAGTGACGCAATACTACTAAGCACAGTTTTTATTTGGATTTCACCAGGTTTTCCACTAAAAGTCCTTTTTCTGGTCTAGGATCTCACATGGCATCTAGTCATCGTGTCTTAGTCTCTTTTCTTAAAAAGGTTTTTGTCATAGGGTGCATGTACTTGCCAGAAAGAGAGACAGAGAAGGAAAGTGAGAAAGCACTCCCCAGGAGAGATGGCCACACTGCAATCCCTTCTCCTCCAGTCCCCTCTTGGGATTTCACATTCATGTGCCCCACTTAATCATCAAGTCTCTGGGTGCAGGACTTAGACTGTGGTTAGCCATGTGGAAGTCTAGCACCTTAACTACCATACCACCTGCGGGCCCCTCCTTATTTCTTTTAACCTGTGACAGTTCCTCAGTATTTCCTGATCTTACATGACCTTGATACTTTTAAAGTGGTCAGTAATTTTGTATAATTTCATAGAATGCTTCTCAATTTGTATGTGTCTTACATTAGACTGAAATTAGGCATTTTTGGCAAGTTTTCAGTGTAGCACTAAGGAGTTATATGATACTGATTTTTCTTACGACTGGTGATGTTAAAAAGGCCATGTTGTAGGAGCTAGATGGTGGTGCAGTGGTAAAAAGTGATGCTCTATGAGCCTGGCCTACATAGGAAAGTTCCAGGTTTGCATCTGGAGACCTTCCTGAGTATGCCAGACATGTACATGCCTGTGATTTAGGGGTCTCAGGGGGTTGAGGGGGGTGTCAAGACCCTGATGAGGATACTCTCTCTCTCACTTATAGAAGAAATAAAAACAATTTTACAAGGTCATATTTTAGCTGCTACAGCTCAGTGTCTGAAAAGGAGATGCTGATGAGAAGCAAGTTGGTTTCTTTTACACATCTAGAAAAGCTGGAGACCTATTAGAAAGCAGAGCCCAGAGGTGGGAAAGGGGCAGGAATTGACAGGAATAAACTAAAAACAGGTGAAGGGTATTGTTCAGGATCTAGTTCCTAATCTCTTTAGTTGGGTTCAGCTGAACCATAAGGCTCTGGCCAGGTAGAGCAGGGCAGAGGTGTGGACTGATGTCAGGGCTTGAAGTCAAGTCTGCATAATAAATAGGAAATTCTACAGTTCCTTCCTCTTACTCAGCTCCAGAATACTGGAATATGGAATCATACCTTGAAGGGTAAGAGGTACACTTAACCACTCCAAGAGAAAGACCCAAGATCTTGTCATTCAGATTGACAGCACAAAAGCTAACTGGTTAAAGGCACCTAGAAAACTTACTGGTCTATGGCCTGTAAGTCCCACTACTTGAACAGCTTCCAAACAGGTCTTTAATATGAATTAAAAGTGCTAGACATTAAAGGAATGCTTCTGACATGAAAGTCACCAAAGCAAACAAATGGAAAAAAGACATCTTAAAATAACAATAGCTAAAAGTTATGAAGCTTTTACTGTGTGTTAGGCAATAAGTTCTTTTAACTTATTCTCATTTAACGTTCACAATGATCCCCATCTTACAGGAAGAAATTAAGGCTTGAGAAATTTAATTTGCTCAAGGTCAGAAATTTAATTTGCTCAAGAGTTGGTAGGTGGGAAGTTCAAACTCCAAACCATTCTGCTTGACTCCAAAGGTCCCGTTCTTTAAATTGAAAGAGTTCCTGTATCCTCTTCACCCAGCTTCTCCTAATGTCAACATCTTATGTAACCATACATATATAATCAAAACTAGGATGTTAACAGTGACGCAATACTACTAAGCACAGTTTTTATTTGGATTTCACCAGGTTTTCCACTAAAAGTCCTTTTTCTGGTCTAGGATCTCACATGGCATCTAGTCATCGTGTCTTAGTCTCTTTTCTTAAAAAGGTTTTTGTCATAGGGTGCATGTACTTGCCAGAAAGAGAGACAGAGAAGGAAAGTGAGAAAGCACTCCCCAGGAGAGATGGCCACACTGCAATCCCTTCTCCTCCAGTCCCCTCTTGGGATTTCACATTCATGTGCCCCACTTAATCATCAAGTCTCTGGGTGCAGGACTTAGACTGTGGTTAGCCATGTGGAAGTCTAGCACCTTAACTACCATACCACCTGCGGGCCCCTCCTTATTTCTTTTAACCTGTGACAGTTCCTCAGTATTTCCTGATCTTACATGACCTTGATACTTTTAAAGTGGTCAGTAATTTTGTATAATTTCATAGAATGCTTCTCAATTTGTATGTGTCTTACATTAGACTGAAATTAGGCATTTTTGGCAAGTTTTCAGTGTAGCACTAAGGAGTTATATGATACTGATTTTTCTTACGACTGGTGATGTTAAAAAGGCCATGTTGTAGGAGCTAGATGGTGGTGCAGTGGTAAAAAGTGATGCTCTATGAGCCTGGCCTACATAGGAAAGTTCCAGGTTTGCATCTGGAGACCTTCCTGAGTATGCCAGACATGTACATGCCTGTGATTTAGGGGTCTCAGGGGGTTGAGGGGGGTGTCAAGACCCTGATGAGGATACTCTCTCTCTCACTTATAGAAGAAATAAAAACAATTTTACAAGGTCATATTTTAGCTGCTGTAACAAAATACCCACAAATTTTGCGATGTAAAAAATACAAGACTCTTTTCCATACTGTGTAATGCTGGGGTCAAGATAAACTGAGTCTGGACACAAAAATACAATTTTGTATTGACAGTTCCTGCTGGTTTTTTTTCAGAGATTTTTGCTATAGGGCACATGCTTGAGCCAAACAGACAGTAAGAAATCAACCCCTGGGGGGATGGCCACACCACAATCCCTTCTTCTCCATTCTCCTCTCAGGATCTTGGGCTCATACACACACGTGCCTGGCATGAGTTTTAGGCAGCCAAGTCCGGGACTCCAACCATGGTTGACTACATGGGAGTGCAACGATGTAGCCATTATGCCTTCTGTTGATCTCTAATACAGTTGTTTTTAGGGCCAGTAGGTGGTGGGAAGGGTAAGGTGCTAGATTCCACAGGTCAGCTGTACAGAGTACTAGATCCAGTGGCTTGAAATCAGGTGTGTGTACATGTGTGCCCAAAATCCTGAGAGGAGACTGGAGAAGAAGGGATTGTGGTGTGGCCATGGGGGGAGGGGCAGTGATGTCTCACTTCTTTCTCTCTGGCAATTGCATGTGCCATGTCACAAAAACTCAAAACCAAAAAAACCCCAGTTGTTTTCTTTCTTTCTTTCTTTCTTTCCTTCCTTCCTCCCTCCCTCCCTCCTTCCTTTCTTTTTTAGAGGTTTTTGCTATAGGGTGCGTGCGCTTGCCAGACAGAGAAAGACAGAGAGACAGAAAGCGAGAAATCACTCCCCAGGGGGGATGGCCATGCCGCAATCCCTTTTCCTCCATTCTCCTCTTGGGATCTTGGGCACGCGTGCACATGCGCCTGGCGTGAGTTTTAAGCCACCGGATCCAGGACGCGAACCGCAGTCGACTACGGGGGAGTCCAGCGACATAGCCATTACACTAACTGCTGGTCCCCCCAGTAGTTTTCAATTAGCAATAATGCCATGGATAAACTTCATTGGCTATGATACCGCCACTGTGTAAAGATAAAAATCGGTAACATAGAGCGTTTAATCAAACCATAAAATCCTTTAAAAATTTTGTAAAAACAATACTGATGTACTCTCATACAGTTAACTAAGATACAAGGTTCTCTCTGAATTCATCTTTCATTTGATTATGAAAGAGTGATGATGTAGATGATCCTGTGGGGCTAGGCATGGGAACATGGAAGAATTCTATCATTTCCTGAAAAGAAATCTGCTGATGCACAGAACCAACATATTGATACCAATCAGGTAATGCATACATTAGCATAATCAGCAGAATTCCAATTCACTCCAGAAGAAGCACTTTCACGAGGTGTCTACACTTGTGTATCAACAAAAGTTTGAGGTGGTTAACTCAGATCCTGTGAATGTTTCATATGTGTGGACATATAGATAGTTCTTACCTTTCCAGACCCAAAGACCGCCTCTTGGGCATATCTGATGAGACACTCTTTGCAGAACAAGTGAGCATCTGCGCACTGTGTCAGCTCCTCAAAGGGAAACTCCCCATAGCAGCAGCGGCACTCTATCAGCTGGCCATCCTGCAAGTCCGTCAGAGACACTCAGATAGACGAAAGCCTTGTCTAATTACGCCACCATCCCCCCGCCTTAGAAGTTGCTAAAAAGCAATTCCAATTCCAAGGACCCATAAAACAATGACAAATTGTTTTTTGCTGTATAAACCTAGCTCAGACTGCTAGCACACTATTAATCCACAACTAAACATAGTAAGATGTTCATTTTTTTTTGGGGGGGGGGCATTCTCTGGAATAATTTTTTCTATTTAGTTAACATATTAATCTACTCTATGATACTAGGGGAACTACAATACCTGGAATCAGATGCTAATATGATTATAAAAGTCTATGACAAGATGTTATCCAAAAAAGCTTTTGAGAGTTGGACTTTTTTTTGTTATAAGACAGAGGAGAGTGGGGGTCAGCTGGTGGAGTCGTGGTTAAGGATGCTGGATTCCCATGAGGTCGACCACAGTTCAAGTCCTGGATCTGGTGGCTTGCTTTCTCACTCTCTCATCAAATTAAATTAAGTTTAAGAAATAAAATAATTTTTTTTTTTTAAAAAAGATAGGAGTGTGAGGGGGGTTGTATCCTAGTCCATTATTTTAAGAGACTGCTTAAATTAACTAAAGCAGTAACCTCAAGTAATGTACCAGGAAATGTACTCTCTCTCTCTATAAATATATTTTTTTTCTTTTTTTTGAGAGAGATATTTTTGCTATAAGGTGCTCACCAGAGACAGAGAGACAGAAAGACAGAAAGTGAGAATTCAACCCCAGAAGGGACAGCCACACCACAATCCCTTCTCCAATCTCCTCTTGGGATTTTGGGCATGCACACACATGCGCCTGGCATGAGTTTTAAGCTGCTGGGTTCAAAACTTGAACTGAGGTCAACTACGTGGGAGTTTAGCAATATCATCATGCCATCTGTTGGTGTCAACTCTTTTTATTAAAGGCAGTGATTGACTGATCTAGTCATTAACCCATTTTACTATTTTAAAAAAGGTCACTAGATAATGATGGCAGATATCACACAGAAAGTAATCTGGCCCCGAGGTTATACATCTCTTTTCCTTTAACCTCTAAAGTGGGTATCTTAGTTCTAAATTTTCACTAACAGTCTATTTGACAGATACTAGATAATCTTCTTTCTTTTGGTTTGCTATAGGGCACATGCACTTGCTAGAGAGAGAGAGAAAGTGGGAAAACTAAGAAATCACCCCATAGAGAGGATGATCACATCACAATCCCTTCTCTTCCATTCCCTCTTAGGATTTTGGGCATGCACACACACATGCCTGGTGTGTTTTTCAAGGGTCCGGGACTCGATCTCCCAAGTTGGCCACATGGGTGGGTTCCAGCCATCTTAACCACCACACCATCAGCTGGTCCAACACCAGATAATGTTCTTTTAACAGGACCATTTCCATCATCATCCCTTCACTTCTAACTCAACAGTGGCTATACTACTTCAAGTACTCTGACTGTAGCTTGGCTGATCTGCAAATTCAGCATATCAACAGGAGGTTATAAAGGAACAAATTTGCCAGCAAAATGCCAAGAAAATGTGGTAAGAGTCTATGGCCTTAAAAAAAAAATACAAAAAAACAGGATAAATTAATTAGGTGAGATTTCAAACTACCTTTTGATACTGCTCTTCATTCATCTGTAGGGCAAGCAAAAAGTCTTCATGCTAAGGAACAAAAAAACCCACATGTTTTGATATAAACTTAGTAAATATGACACTAATAATTTAGTATTTATTTCCATAAACACAATTCTATTATTAATAGTCATCACTTTGGTTATATAATCCAATAGTTAAAAAATTATCTAAGAATAAACCTAAAAAATGATCAGAGAACTAAATATAAAAAAGGAAATCATACAAGTATTATAAAATGTGGGCAATTTTTTCTTCAAAACATTGGGTTGTTGGAAAAGTCATGACACATTTTTGCATAGAAAAGCAGAAAAAATATTTCATGACTTTTCAAACGACCCAATAACACTAAATACAGAATAAGGAAAAAGACTGGCACGTAAAACACTTCTGAACAGCATAAGCAAATAAAAAACCCAAATTAGTAAAATTCAAGTTTGACAACATATTTTCCTGGTAAGGCTATAGGGCAATAGGCACTCTTTGCATAAGACTGGTGAGAATGCAAAAATAGTATAAGCATGATGGAGAACTTGGCATGGACTCATCAGTGCTACTCTTAGGAGTCTAGACCAAAGATACTCTGGGGCAAAAATATGAAATGATATACACACAAACTTATTTACCATAGCAGTAACGTGAATAGCCATCAATAGAGGAATGACTGAATAAACTGGTACTGCATATAATGGCATACTAGTCAGTCTTAAAGAGGAAAATCTCTATGTAATTCTGTGGAGTCATCACCAGAATGCACAGTTAATTCAGGACAGAGGAGTATGCTACCTTTTAGATAAGAGGGGCGGGTAAGTAAGTAAATATATATCTACACACACACACACACACACACACACACACACACACACACACACTTGCTTTTATTTAAAATAAGGTAAGCTAAACCCAAATCTAAAAACAATGGTTATATAGAGGAAGTGAGAGAACAAGGAAAAAGAAAAAACAAGAAGTCACCTCTCTGCACATTCCTTCTATTTTTGACTAAAAATATTTTACAAAATTGAGGAACAAAATTATATGAAGAGCCAAGAGTCAATTCCTTAAGAATTGAAAATAAACAACTGTTTATCAAAGTTAATGGCCTAACCACACAGACTTATTTCAAGTTACTTTAAAATACAATATTTTTATTTTATTTTATTATTTTTTTGGAGAGATTTTTGCTATAGGGTCTATGTGCTCACTAGACAGAAAGAGAGAAACAGAGGAAAAAGAGAGACAAAGGTGAGAAATCACCCTCCCCTCTGGGGGTGGGGGGAATGGCCACACTAGAACCTGGGAGTCCAGCACTGTAATCACTATATATTCTTTTTTTTTTTTTTTTTTTAAATAGATTTTTGCTAAAGGGTGCACATGCTGACTAGAGACACAGAGATAGAAAGTGAGAAATCAACTCTCAGGGGGATGGCTGTGCTGCAATCCCTTCTCCATTTTCCTCTCAGGAGCTTGAACATGCACACGCATGTGCCCGTCTTGAGTTTTAAGCCGCTGGGTCTTGGACTCAAACCGCGATCAACTACGTGGGAGTCCACCAAGGTAACCATTATGCCATCCACTGGTTTCTGATATAATCTGACAGGAACTATGTTGTTATTAAAAACCAAGATATTTAGCATAAAACAAACACTAGCAAAAACTTGAGAAGTGAAGAACCTGATCTAAAACAGAAATCTCAGTATGAATTCTCACTGAAGAAAATAAATCATCATGGAGAAACTGTCAGGTATGAATGAGAAAGTAGAAGTTTAACGTGTGGGTACCTCGTTGTGTGAGAAAGCAAGGATACTGTCAAAAACTACAAGGGCAAACCCAGAGATGAACTAGAAGGGGATGTACCTGGCCAAAGATAGGACAATGTGGATATCAAGAAGTACTACGTTGAACTAAAATACATCCACCAATTTGCCAATATTTTAAATATTATATTTCTCTGATGAGATCCGTGGTGATACTAATAAATATGATTCTGTGATGGGTGGATCAAGACAACTCTTAAAAATAAATATTTATAAACTACTATAGCATAGGTACGCTCACCGGGGAGACATGGTTGGTCATGTGGGAGTCCAGAGCCTACACCTACCACACAACCTGCCAGTCCCACAAATCATTCATTTTTTAAAAAATGTCTGCCAAATACTTAGTTTTAAATAATCATAGTCTCCTGTCCTTTTCTTCAAGTAAAAATGACATTCTGCGTAAAAGGAAAAATGCGGCTAATCTGGTTGCTGGCAACTCAATCACACAAGTATTTTTCTTTGAAACAAATATCATATCCTGCTATATGGCAGAATCACTTTAAGCATACTTTGCATTTTGTTAGAATATTGGAAGGATCAGAGAGTTTAGTTCTTTTTCCCACTATACAAGATAGCAAGTGAAAAAGTTGCAAAGCAGGATACCAAGGAGAAGAAACCTGAAGCCAAGAAGACTGATGTCAGTAGGAAGGTTGAAAAGGGTGACCCCAAAGCTAAAAATCCCAAGAAGGGGAAACCCCTTTGAGGCTGAAACCCGGTCCGAGTCCAGGGCAACAGCAGATACTCCCGGTCTGCCATGTATTCCAGGAAGTCCATGTATAAGAGGAAATACTCGGCCACTAAATCCATGATTTTGCAAAGAAAAAGAAGGTTCTTGCAACTGTTACAAAACCAATTGGAGACAAGAATGGTGGTACCCAGATGGTTAAATTGCGCAAAATGCTTAGGTATTATCCTACTGAAGATGTGCCTTGAAAGCTGTTGAGCCACAGCAAAAAAAAACCTTCAGTCAGCATGTGAGAAAGCTGCGAGCTAGCATCACTCTGGGGACCATTTTGATCACCCTTACTAGATGCCACAGAGGCAAAAGAGTGGTTTCCTGAAGCAGCTGAGCAGTGGCTTGCTACTTGTAACTTGACTGCTGGTTCTCAATCGAGTTCCAGTTCCACTGCATAGAACACACCAGAAATTTGTCATCGCCATCTCCACGAAAATTGACATTAGCAAAGTAAAAATCCCAAAGCACCTTACCGATGCTTACTTTAAGAAAAAGAAACTGTGGAAGCCTAGACACCAGGAAGGTGAGATCTTTCACACAGAGAAGGAGAAATATAAGATTTCAGAGCAGCATGGGAACCAGCAGTTAGCGTAATGGCTATGTCGCTGAACTCCCATGTAGTCGACCATGGTTTGAGTCCCGGACCTGGTGGCTTAAACTCATGCTGGGCGTGGGTGCGTGCGTGCCCAAGATCCCAAGAGGAGAACGGAGAAGGGATTGCCGCGTGGCCATCCCCCTGGGGGGTGATTTCTCGCTTTCTGTCTCTCTGTCTTTCTAGTGAGCACACACTATAGCAAAAGCCCCTCCAGCAAAAAAAAAAAAAAAAAAAAAAGATTTCAGAGCAGTGCAAGGTTGATCAGAAAGCTGTGGACTTGCAGATTTTACCAAAAATCAAAGCTGTTCCTCAGTTCAAGGGCTACCTGTGATCTGCATTTGTCCTTATAAATAGAGTTTATCCCCACAAACTGGAATCTAAATTTTTGCCAAGAACCTAATTAAATAACTGATCGTTAAAAAAAAAAAAAAAAGAATATAGGAAGGATATTTTCAAGGGCCAAAACTCTGATAAATAGTTTTTCCTGCCTTATTGAAGACTTCTTCAGGTAAAGTGGGCATATTTTAAACATTTGAATACATGCTGGTAAATAAAACAATAATTACTAGTAGAGTTTTGTGCCACTAGCCTGATTCGTACTAAGGTACTATTGATTTTGTTCTGTTGATACCAATTCAACACAGTGAAAAGATCAAATAATGTTTAAGCATCATTGTAAGAGATTTGACCTTGCAGATACCTTTGAAGAGTCTTGGGGAGGGACCAACAGATGGTGTTAACAGTTATGTCGCTGGACTCCCACATACTTGACTGTGGTTCAAGTCCCAGACCCAGGAGCTTGAAATTCATGCCAGGCGTGTGTGCGTGAATGCCCAAGATCCCAAGAGGAGGCGAGTGGAGAAAGGACTGAAGCATGGCCATCCCCCCTCGGGGATGATTTCTCGCTTTTTGTCCCTCTGGGGAGGGCACGAGTCCTATAGCAAAAATCTCTTTAAAAAAAAAAAAAAAAAAAAGAGACCTGGGTACTCAGGAATTCGTGGGCCACACACTTTGAAAGATTCTGGTCTACAAGGTACTTTTAAGCAACTAATACATTAGGTTGTCAGGAAAGTGCTTTCCTTTTTCTTTTTTGGAGAGGTTTTCGCTATAGGGCACGTGCGCTCGCCAGACAGACAGAGAGACATAGAGACAGAAAGCGAGAAATCACCCCCCAGGGGGGCTGGTCACGCCGCAATTCCTATTCCTCTATTCTCCTCTTGGGATCTTGGGCATGCACACACACGCGCCCGGCGTGAGTTTTAAGCCACCGGGTCTGGGATGCGAACCACGGTCAACTATGTGGGAGTCCAGCGCCATAGCCATTATGCTAACTGCTGATTCCCAGGAAAGTGCTTTTCTATGCAAAAATGTGTCATGACTTTCCCAACAACCCAATAGTTGGAAAAATCAAAGAGCTAAATGGAACCTCTGCTTTTTCTCCACCATAAGAGGCTGAGGAAGGTGAAAAAGATATGCTTACTCAGCTCCAATTAAAATTTTCTAATATAAACCTGATTTATGAATCTATGAACTTCAGTTGGTATCATGCTAAAACTAGGTTTTGTGTTTTTTAAAATGCTATAGTTTATTCAAATTAACCACTGTAAAAAAAGAAATATTAAAAGACAATTTAGTAGTAAGCCCAAATAGTTAGCAAGCAAAAAGCCAAGAAACACAATCCAAGATCAGAGTATATCCTCTTACCTCTGCCATCTCTTTGATTTTCTGCTCATAGAACTCCTGCTCCTGTTGTACAGCTGGAAGGAGGGCACGCCGGTCATAGGACCTACAATGTCGCCGCTTATTTTCCAGAAAGAACATCCTCTTTTCTATTTTTATATCACCTAGAAGATATATGACAACGCAGAATCATGAAAACAACTGTGTGCTAGGAATCTAGGCCAGCAATTTCCAGTTTCCAATCCCTGGCCTGTTACCCGCAGTACATGACTCCTGTAACAGCTACCATTTGAGAAGACTGGGATCCTTTCTCCTAATCTATCATGCCCTTTTTGGCCTTCCTGGTTTTTACTGCTTTTATGCTCCATTTAAAAAGCCTTTCTACTAAGAACTGCACTGTGTGATTATAGCATAGTTCATTACCCATTTTATTCCCGAGGACATCCGAGTTTACAGTTTAGGGTTATTATGAATGAGGAGGCTTGTAGTTATTTATTGGTGAATGTATGTCTACAATTATGTTGAGTATATAGGAGTGCAACTGCTGAATCATGGGATATGCTTACTTACTTTTAGCTTTAGAAAATATACTAGTTTTCCAAAATGGTTATACCAACTTACACTGTCCTTCTACCAGCAACGTATATGAGTTCCTGGTGCTTCACATCAACTACTATCATTAGATTTTACTTTTGGCTGTCCTAATAGGTACAAATGTGATGTATGTATATACATATATATGTATGTATGTTTTTTTCCCAACTTTCATTATTTTGAAAATCTTTAAATATACAGAAACACTGAAAGAGTAACATCTAGATTTATAATAAGTAACTTGTAGTATAAAAGATAAAAGAATGACAAATAACAGATATGTAATTAGTTGTTCAGGTTTTATGCTTCTGCTGACTTGGTAATTTATGTTTTTCTGGAAAACTCTATTCCACTCAGATTTTCAATATACTCACAAATTTGTTCTTAGTAATCTCTCTTGATTTTTGCAATATTCACTATATCTGGTTCCTGATACCTTTTATTTTTATTCTCCTTTTCTCTTGTTCATTCTCACTACATTTTTACAGATTTAACCCATTTCTAGCTATTTAGGAAACCAGTTTTTGGTTTTATGAAAGTAGTATAGTATAGTGTTAAGCAAAGTTGTTTTTTTCCCTAGAGGGCATATGCACTCACTGGATGGACAGTGAGAGGGAAAGTGAGAAATCACCTCCCAGAGAGGATGGTCATGTCTCGACAACCCCTTCTCCTTCATTCTTCTCCTGGGACCTTGGGCATGTGTGCACATATGCCCAGGCTGATTTTCCAAGTCACTGGGCCTGGGACTCAAGTTGCAGTTGGTCATGTGGGAATCTAACGACATAACCGCTACACTATCTGCTGCCCCAAGTAAACTTTTCTTGGATAGAAGGCACTCAGATGATAAGACTAACCTCCTGAAAAGGAGTTACTTCATCAATAAAAATAACAAAATTTGGGGTCAGCAGGTGGCATGGTGGTTAAGACACTGGACTCCCACATAGCCAACTGCGGACCAAGTTACAGACTTGGCGGCTTGCTTTCTCACTTTCCCTTTCTCTCTCTCTAGTCAAATTAAAAAATAATAAATAAATACATCTTTTTAAAAAATAAAAAAATAACAAAATTTTAGAGAAACATGGCTATAAGATGCACAAGTGATCTTCAGTAAGTAATCATCATTAATATAGGTAATTCTAATGATTATAGCCAATTCTCATGAAACTTTCGAGATCAGTTTTTCTGAAATTTAACAGCATTTCCAAATGCTTTTCCACCCATGAATTATTTAATGTTGCACAAAATTTTCCTGTTATGATATATCTTGAGCGGGAACAAGGAAGCTGACAACTGTAGCCACTTTCTTAAACTTTTGCTATGCTGTCAAAACTGACCCCTCCAGTCATTCCTTGGCCTGGCCTTGTCCTCTTTAAGTTTCCTATAACATGACATCCTTCACTGACCATACTTGAAGGGAAGGTTAACATACTATCAGCAACCACAGTTTGCCATTCATTACCTTGTTCAAATTTGAAATCTATGTAAGAATATTGATTCATTTCTTTTCTCTTTTTCCTTTTTCCACTGGTTTCTGGTGATAGCTCCTGCCATTTTTTAATGGCATCAGAAAAGGCCTAAAAATTGAGAAAGAGAAAAATTACTACTACAAATGGAAAAAAAACCAGTATGTGAAACACAGGCAATACTCCAATCTTATTCTAACTCATGGTTTCAGCTACCTTCCCTGCATGGCTTACCAGGAGAAACTGATAATAACAAACCATTCCATTATTTTCATTTTTTCTTCCATAAACCACTACAGGGGTTACTTGAGAGATTAAGGGACAACATTAAGAAAATAAAAACTGTACAAGCAGTTCTTGCATAAATATAGCTAATCGGCCAATGGCTAGTGAGTTATAGTCAATGTTTTACATGCTATTCCTCTGGTCAACACTCCCCCTTTCCACTCTCTACTAAATTCCCTCCTCTGTACCCTTCATGTGCACCTATACCCCCAACTCCCCATGTCTACTGAATGGTGGAATTCACAATTCTTCCACGAGCAATAATCCACTTTCTTCTTTACCTTCAGTTTCTCTCATTCTTAAGACCTTTCACATCAGTGTTTAAATGTACTCACATCTTTGCCATCTTAAAACAAGAATATCTTTCCTCCCTTTAACTCAATCTTCTTTCAGCTCTCAGCCTCGTTACTTCTTCCCCTCTTTGTAGCCAAACTTATCAAAGGAGCTGCTGATATATGTTTAACCATCTCACCTCCCATCGATAGCTTCTCAAGACCTTCTAATCTGTTTTATAACCTTTTCACTTGCTAATCTATACTTATTAGCAGAGGGGCTAAGTCTACCATTTACATTTAAGTCCTCATCTTACTTGACCTCTTAGCAGTATTTAGTAGTGTTGTCCACTCCACTCTCCTGACTTTCTCCTTTCTCACCACTGCCTGCTCTTTCTCTGCTATCTTCCTTCATCTGGTTGGTTTGCTGTATGTTCTGAGTCTTCTGTTCTCACCTGATATTTTCCCAGGCACTAGATCCAGGCTGGTGAGTTTATCTCCCATATGCCGATGACTCTCAAAATCCTATCCCCAGTCCATATATCTAGCCCTCTTTATCTATTCTACCACCCAATGAGTTATTTTTACTTTGCTGTCTCATGGACCCTGCAAATCAGCATTTTCCAGACTGATTCACATTTCTTTCCTTTCCAACCCAGTTCTTTCACAATATTCCTCACCCTACTAAACAACTGTCATTTTCCATGCCTCTCTTTACCTAACTCTCTTAGGTTTGTGATTAAATGTCAAATGCTCCTGGAGTCCCGTGGTCAGAGCACTCTGGATTTTCCCTTTAGAATCTTCACCATAGTTCAAAGTACTTATTTTTTATTTGTTTGTTTCTCGGTTTCATGTTATCTCCTCCATTAGATTATGTGTCTCTGGGCAACAGGAACTGTATCCTGAGCACTTTGCACAGTCTGCATTTAACACTCATTTAAAGAATGGGGCCAGGGACCAGCAGTTAGCGTAATGGCTATGTCGCTGGACTCCCAGGTAGTCGACCGCGGTTCGAGTCCCGGACCCGGCGGCTTAAACTCACGCCAGGCATGTGTGCGTGCGTGCCCAAAATCCCGAGAGGAGAATGGAGGAGAAGGGACTGTGGTGTGGCCATCCCCCCTGGGGGGGTGATTTCTCGCTTTCTGTCTCTCTGTCTCTCTCTGGCGAGCACACGTGCCCTATAGCAATAACCTCTCCAAAAAGAAAGGAGGGAGGAAAATAAGAAGTAAAAATTTGGACTGTTCCGCCCCTAAAGAAAAAACCCCTAAAAAAAAAAAAAAAAAAAAAAAAGAATGGGGCCAGCATGGGGCATGGTGATTAGGGGCACTGGACTTCTACCACGGTTCAAGTCCCGGATCTGGTGGCTTGCTTTCTCACTCCTCTCCACCTCCCTCTCTCTCACTCAGTCCCCCTCTGATCAAATTAAAATAAAGTTAAGTAAAACACTTCTTTGAAAAAAAGAATAAATGAATAATTGTAGGGGATGTATAAATGCTATGGGCACACTGCTAATAATCACATTCTGAATCTGCTTATCCTAGAGAAACAATCCCTGTGGTGAAATAATAATAGAAAAGTATTTTTACTATAGAAAAGGGAACGATCACTCTTTTACCCAAATCTACCTCTGTTCTTTCCTTTTGGATCTTTCTATTCATAATCTCGCTTAATTCTAACAATAATCCTTTGAGGTATTATTTATTTTATGGTAGAGGCAAGCAAGACAGGAAGAAGAAACTGGCTCCAAGTCAAACCTTAGCATAAGCTAGTATCTGAACTCAGGCTAGTCTTGCAATTAAAGCTCTTTTCCATGACACCACCACCATGACCTCACAGACAAGACTCAGTAAAACCAAAGCAAAAGCAAGCTGACGGCAAAATTTATCTTGTACCTTTCTACCTCCCCTGTCAACACCTTCTATAGCTCAGAATATTGCTTTCTATTTCTCCACCCTTCCTTTTTCTTAATTATTTTTAGCAGCTTAAAACAACACCCACTTATTATCTCATGTCTTGTCTCATCTGGGTCTCCTGCTTAGATTCTCACAGGGTTCAAGTCAATGTGTCTGCAGGGCCCTATTCCCCTCCAGATGATCTGGGGGTGAATTTGCTTTTAAACTTACTAGGTGTGGGTTAAATTCAATTCCTAGAGGTTGTAGAACTGAAGTCCTCATTTCCTTTCTATCAGGCACAGGCAAGTCTTTGCCCCTGCAAATATTTCTTTTCATCTTTTCATATAGATCACTTCCTGTAACAATGGGCTGTTTAAATCTCCCCAATTTTCCTTTCTGTTTCATTTCTCAGCTCTATCTTTTTTTTGCCTCTCTGCCCTTGCTTTCTAATTTTCCTTCTGGAATTTCTGTTACCAAAATGTTCCCTACAAACCTTCAGACACCCACCTTTAAATCACACTTTTGTCTTAATTTTTAAGACCACTAACTACCAAGTTTTTTTTTTTTTTTCCTAAGTTCATTTACTTCTCTACCACAAGTGAAAGCAACAGACAGCTTCCGTCATGACATCATGATCAACCTCCAGCCTTAGCCAGCCCTGTATCATGGTTATGTATCTGCTCAGTATATTCAGGGAGGTGAACCCAGAACCTTACCATATGGGTTGACCTCACAGAGCATCACATTTACTGCTATGTCACTGTCTGATCCCCTTTACCAAGTTTTACCTAAAGGTAAACATTCTACCCTTTGAACCAGGGTTGTGTGCAAAAACTCACAAATGGGAGCAGGACAAGTATTATAATTGGCAGTTTCCAAGAGGCAATTAAAGGGTAGGTGTTATTTATTAGCATATCCTGGGACTAGAACATCAAGTCAGGGCTCCTCAATGGTGGTGTGCCGGTTTTGAAACCACACCGAATGGACAGGCTTCTGACCAGAAGTCTACAGAGTCATTACCTTGATCTCGTTACAATATTACTTCTACAAAGCAGGGGAAAAGCCTCATATAATGTGAATATAAACTGGCACTTGTCAGAACACTTTATTTTATTTTTTGGAGAGGTTTTTGCTACAGGGTGCGTGCACTCACCAGAGAGAGGGAGACAGAGAGATAGAAAGCAAGAAATCACCCCCCAGGGGGGATGGCCACGCTGCAATTTCTTCTCTTCCATTCTCCTCTTGGGATTTTGGGCACACACACACACGCTCAGTGTGAGTTTAAGCCACTGGGTCTGGGACTCAAACCGCAGTCGGCTACATGGGAGTTCAGTGACATAGCCATTACGCTACCTGCTGGTCGCAGAACACTTTTACCTTTAAAAAATGTTGTCTTAGGGTCAGTAGGTAGTGTGGTGGTTAAGGCACTGGACTCCCACATGGCCGACATGGTTTGATCTAGTGGTCTGAAAGATCACACTGGGAACGTCTGAATGAGTGCCCAAAATCCCAGGAGAAGAACCGAGGAGAAGGTTCTACATTGTGGCCATTCTCTAAGAGGGTGATTTCTTACTTTCCCTCTCACTCTCTCTCTCTGCCTCTTTCGAGGGGGTGATTTCTTACTTTCCCTCTCACTTACTCTCTCTACCTCTCTCCAATAAGCACATAAACCCTATGGCAAAAACCTTAAAAAAAAATTTTTTTTGCCCACAAATTAAAGAAGTTTCTAAGATCTTAACTGATACTTATATTATCAATCAACACTGAGGCCAGCAGGTGGCGTGGTGGTTATGGTACTAGACTCCCACAGGGCTGACCATGGTTAGAGTCCTGGACCTGGCAGCTTGCTTTCTCACTTTCCCTCTCTCTCTCCAGTGAGCATATGTGCACTACACCAAATAAATAAATTTAAATAAATAATTATTTTAAAAAAATCATCACTTATTTTTATTTTTTAATTGTCAGAGGACATAGGCACTTGTGGGAGAAAGAGAACACACCATGTCCCCAATGGGCATGGTCACACCACAATCCTTTTTCTTCCATTTTTCTATCCTGTCAGGATTTTGGGTACACACACGTTTACCCAGTGTGTGTTTTCAAGTCACCGGGGCTGGAACTTGAACCTGAACCACTGTCAACTATGTGGGATTTGGTTCCCAATGCATAGTGCTTACCCACTGTGTTATGGACTGGCCTTCATTGTAGCACTGAATAAACGCCTAGTTAAGCAACCCAGATAAAAATGGTTTACAAAATGAAAATTCTTTCCTTCTGACACTTGCTAGTCTACACCCTCCAAAGGCAGCATGGTTATCTTTCCTTAATTCTAGCCTTTGCACACATCATTCCTCGGTGAAATTCCATCTTTCCTCCAGACTGCTCAAACAACATTTTCATCTTTTTCCTAGTGCTCTCAATGGCTTTATTTACCAGTTTTTAGAACACTCATACAGTGTTAAAATTATGACTCCTCACCTCCAATCTTCCCAACCAGACTGAAAGCTCTCTGCAAGGACTCACTTTGCGTTCTACTGATCCTAGCATCCTCAGGGTCTAGCATGGTATTGATCATGAAGTACTCAAAAAGCTCAAAGGGAAAGAACCTAGGATCAATGAATATTTCAGGATAACTTTCCCTTTTGCTATTGTCTGGTATTTC